GCTTGAGCCCAGGAGTTGGAGGTTGCTGTGAGCTGTAATGCCACGGCACTCTACCCAGGGGGACAGCTTGAGGCTCTGTCTCAAAAAAAAAAATAATAATAATAATAGGTTACTTACTAATTGTCTTTATGCTTAGAATAATCACACAAAAAAGTATATGTGCCCCGCATCTGAAGTCGCACTCTACTGATAGGGAAGCCTGGAGAAGATTCATTTCTGAAGTCCCACATATATATGTCTGTATGTATATGTGTATGTATGTGTGTGTGTCTATCTGTCTGTCTCTCTCTCTCTTACAGGCTTTGCGTTTGTGAAGACTTGGTGTTAGGAATGACATGCAAGTCCCTGGCCCCATTCTCCCCACCCAGCCCATTTCACGTCTATGCTGTGTCCCAGGTGGAGATTCCCACACTCTGATCCCTGTGGCCAGATGATCTTTCCTTTACTCTCCCTTCCCAGGCCCTTTCCACTGATGTCACCCAGCGCTTGCTGCTTGCCACCTGCAATTCCAGGTGTTGGTTAGACAGGAAGGAGGAGGGAGAGCCACTGGGGCCACGGATGATCTGGCCTGATTGTCCTGGGGGGTGAGGATGGGAGGGGAGGGGTTCTGTTTGTCCCTGGGGCAGTCATGCCTTTTAGGGTCTTTGCAGAAATGTCTGGTGTCCCAGCAGATGCAGAAGAGTCGGGCTCTGGGCTGCACCCACCTGGGGATCCTTGAGAAGCAGGATATTTGAAGTCAGCGGGCTAACAGGAGCCCTGCAGTTCTTGTAGGGGGTGACTGGGCTCAGCCCTGGGACACATCCATGGTGAGAAGTGAAAGGAAGGGGGCTGAGCAGAGCACTCCCAGGCACGAGGGCAGGTCTGCAAGCTGAGCTTCCATGGAGGAAGCAGTCTCCACTTGGTGGCTTTCACAGCGTAACTGGGGACAGCATGGGGCCCAGCCCTCCAGAGCAGGGTGGGAACAGGGGCACCAGGGAGTTGTGATAGCAACTGCAGTTGTGATAGCAACTGCAGACAGCTTCTGTCTGAGGAAGGGGCTCGTGGAGAGGGCTGCAGGGTCACAGGATGGTGCTCTTAAAGTGGGACTTTAGGGCCTTTGTGTATTGATGGGAGTGATCTGGTCAAGACAGCTAAGGGCTACTCATAGGAGCCAGGTCCTCAGGGAGGCTGGGAGGCGGACCCTGCTAAGACAAGCTTTGGACAGGCTTTATCCCGTGCAGCCAGGTGAGTGGGGGAGGTGAGGACACCAGCAGGGGGCTGCTACACATAGGAGAACCCCCAGTGGAGGGGCCTCTGTGGGGAGGGGGCAGCCACTGAGGCTTAGGCAGGGGAGGGAGAGGAGACCGGGTGTGGCGTGGATGGGAATGCAGACCCCAGGGCATCTCTGAGCACTCTGTGGGTGGGAGGAGTCTCTCTGGCAGCCCTCCTCCTTGGGAGCGTATCAGGTTCCATGTGCCTGGGGTTCTTCCCCAGCCCCTACCCACACCCCCAGCTAAACATAGTGGCCTTTGCTGTCCTTTAAACATTTATGGAATTGCCTTGGTCATGACCAGTATTTCAGGGTGAGGTCTTTGCTGATGTCTGTGGTTTTTTGATTCTTACTTAGTTTGTTGATGTGTCAAGTCCCTTCTAAGTGGAATTGGAAGCTCCAATATGGGCCGTGGCCTGGGCTTCTCCCCCTAGACCAGCAGTCCTCAACCTTTTGGGCACCAGGAACTAGTTTCACGGAAGACAGGTTTTCCATAAACCAGGGGTTGGGTGGGGTTGGTGTCAGAATGATCTAAGCACATTACATCTACTGTGCGCTTTATCACTATTACATTGTAACAGATGGAGAAATAACTATACAGTTTACCCTGATGCAGTACAATCAGTGGAGGCCCCGAGCTTGCTTTTCCTGCACCTAGACCGGTCCCCTCAGGGGGTGACGGGAGACAGATGGTGACAGATGAAGGTTTGCTTGTTTGTCCACCACTCACCACCTGCTGTGTGGCCCAGGGGTTGGGGACCTCAGCCGTTGACCGCTGAGCAGGAGTTTTGGCGCTCCCGAGAGTTGAGAGGCACATGCTCTTACAGGTGTGGGTTCCTGTGGAAAATCCTTTGGCTCTGTCTTGCCCACTAGTGCAGCCTCTTGAGATTGATTTGCTTAGCTCCTGGTAAACTTCAGGTGTCGTCTCAAACCACTGATGAGATGCCAGAAGTAGGGTTCGCGTAGGGTTGCAGGCAGGTCAAGTGAAATCGTTGTTCCAAGCTTCCGCTCCGACTGGAGAGCATGGGAGGGTGGGAAGGGCGTCCCAGTCACCTTTGTACCTTCAGGCCTCGCAGACCGTCCAGCTCCCAGCAGGAGCGTGGTTAAGGCTTCTTGCGGAGAAGAATGAGATACTGGCATGTAGAAGCCCTCTGCAGTAATAGATCAAAAAAAAAATGTATGTGCTTGCAGATTTTGCCAATTTCCACAAGAAATTGTTCTTCAAATGGTGGAGAGATGTCGGATAAGAAAACTTCAATTACTTGCTCACCAGTATATGATTTCAAGTAAAATTGAGTTCTACATCAGTGAAAGCTTGCCTGAATATTTTATGCCTTATCAAGCAGAGCGGTTTCGAAGACTTGGGTAAGAATGAAAGTTAAAATCAATAATGTCAACATTTGAACTGACAAATTCTACCTCAGAGCTCTTAATTGTCCCTTACTTGATCCTGGGTGACATATTTCTGTTTGGTTCGTGACTACGTGACTGCCTCATGCTGAACATGCGTAATGAACAGTATTATCATTGCTGTGACTTCTGCTGCTCAGCTCTGCTGCTCAGACTTTGCCTCTGGGGTTAGTCCCTAGGTTTTCCACTCTAGACTTAGCTTTTGCTTAAACCTGCTGATCTCAGGAGCAGCAGGGGCAGCATCCTATTCTTCTGGTGTGTTGTTTTCTTTCAGCTACGTCTCTCTCTCTGATAATGAGAAGACGGGGTGCAAAGCCCGGGAACTAAAATCCGTTTACGTAGATGCAGTAGGACAATTTCTTAAGCTGATTTTTCACCAAAACCATGTCAACAAATACAACATCTACAACCAGGTAAGAGGAGTGCGGCTCCACCTGCGAAGCCCCCACCCTTTGTAGGGTCACACAGTTGTGGACCTTTCCTTAGATGAGTTTTCAAGATTTTCTTGTAAGAGAGGATCTTCTCTGGGAAAACACTGAGCTCTCTGACCTGTGCTGGCACGGCAGCCTCTGGCACAGGCGCCTCCTGCCCACTAGGAGCAGGCCCAGTCGGTGCCCAGGAGAGAAGCTGCCAGCATCACCAGACCACAGACTTCAAAGACGCAGAACAGAAAAACATTCATTAAAATGTTTATATCAGTTACAGATGATGAAGATAACATTTTGGATGTGTTGTGTTAAACCCACCCCTGTTTCTTTCTAATGTTAACGTGCCTACTTAGAAAACATAAATGACACATGTGGCTCGAATGCTGTTTGTGTTGGTCTGAGCCTTCGGGACAAATCCCCAGGTGAACAGAAGCAGTTCACGTGTGTGTGACCCTCAGTCTCTCCAGCTCCAAGGTGCTTATTCCCAGGGTCTTCTTCCCTCCCATTTCCCCCACATGATTGACACAGTAGAAATCAACCGTGTTCAAGGCAGTCCTGTTCATTAGCAAGTATTTACGACATCCTCTGCCCCCTCAGAGAGGGGTGCAAGCATTCAGGCAAACCAGGCTGGTAGAGCAAGCCCAGGAGCTGGAGGGGAGCTCCCTGTGCAGCTGTGCTGCTCAGTACAGGGTGGCTCACTCGCCGGTAAACTGGAAGGCTGACTTTCACCCTCTGCCCCTCTCTCCCCTACCACCACTGCGTCCCAGCCAGCGATGACCTGGTGACCTGGTTAGACCATAGTGGTTCTCAGGGAGAGGGGAGGGAGGGGCAAGTGAGGGCCTCGCTCAGGTGAGGACCACCCTCTGGGATGAACTGACCCATGATAACTTAGCCTGGTTTACCAAGGTTAAGGGACCTCCACACTTGAGTAGACGGTTTGGTACTAGACTAAGTTAAAACTTGGGGCATTTTTAGCTGTTATTCTTTTTAACATCCAAATGGTTAATAGCTGCTTAGTTCAGCAGTAGACTATTTACTTACATATATAAAAAACTAAAAGCAATGTTATACAGTCAGATATTTATAATTGATATTTAATTTGATACATATCGTCCCAGCCATAATGGATAGGTCAGAGTTTGTTCAGTCAGTCCAGCATTTTATACTGAGTTTCTGTTGATTTGACTCTTTCTTAGGTTGCTTTGGTTGCAATAAATATCATTGGAGACCCTGCAGATTTCAGTGATGAAAGCAATATTGTAAGTTTGAGAAGTTTAATTCCTAAGGAAGAAAATTTATTAACAGGAGGGGATCATTTTTTTCCACTACAAAAAGTGTGATTTTTAAAATCTTTGCAAATTGACTAGTAAATACTATTAGATGATTTTTAGCACCCATAGTATATTAAACTTTTCTTTTACTCAGCATAATTAGCTATCCCTCCAAAAGACTAGAATCCTTGGTGCTGAGACAGACAACTTTCTGTCACATATTCTCGTAATCAAGATCTGTTGTTCCCTTCTTGCTCTGAGAGACTGAGCAGACACTTTGCTTCCACAGACCTCTAGAGAGAAGCTGATTGACCTTTATCTTGGGCACAACACAGAGGACCCAGCCCTGGAAGGCACTTCTGCTGGGTAAGAGTCCTGTTCCGTGTCAGGGAGTGTCTGCAGAATCACGGAAGTGTTTCTGGATTTGAGAGCCTCTAGGTTCAGTTTAGAGCCAGATAAGCCATTGATGGGATTGTCTTACATTTGCACACAGACTGAGGTCGTTGCTTTATTTAGCCATCTTTATTACTGCCCTTCAGAGACTTTTCATTTCTTGTGTTCAGGTATTATTAGAAGGTTTCTAAAATGCATTTGGAAAAAAGACCTATCAGCCATCCTTTGATATTTTATTGGCATAAGCAAATTCATAGGTAAAAATCAAAGGTATTAATTGACCCAAATTAATAGATACCAGAGACTTCATCCCATGATTACTTTAAAAAGACATTCTTTAGGGAAATGAGAAATACATATACCAGTTTTTAAAAACACAATTTTTACCAGTCCTTCTCTACCATTAAAACATTCTTCATTTTGGGGGTGCCTGTAGCTCAGTAGTTAGGGTGCCAGCCACATGCTCCAGGACCAGTAAGTTCAAACACGGCCAGGGCCTGCTAAACAAAAAAAGAAAGTTCTTCACTTTAACAATTGTAGATGCTTTTTTCTTTTACTACCTTCTTTTCCCAGCAGTATAAGGAGCCTTGGTGGGTCCACAGTGAGGGGACTAAAGAGCTCAACTGCACTGTCCTGGGTCACCCTCTGCTGGGGACAGACACCCCTCTGGGTGTTCTCGGGACAGTAGCTCAACTGCACTGTCCTGGATCACCCTCTGCCGGGGACTAACACCCCTCTGCCAGGGACAGACACCCCTCTGGGTGTCCTCGGGACAGTAACTCAACTGCACTGTCCTGGGTCACCCTCTGCTGGGGACAGACACCCCTCTGGGTGTCCTTGGGACAGTAGCTCAACTGCACTGTCCTGGATCACCCTCTGCTGGGGACCAACACCCCTCTGCCAGGGACAGACACCCCTCTGGGTGTTCTCGGGACAGTAACTCAACTGCACTGTCCTGGATCACCCCTCTACCGGGGACAGACACCCCTCTGGGTGTCCTCGGGACAGTAACTAAACTGCACTGTCCTGGATCACCCTCTGCCGGGGACAGACACCCCTCTGGGTGTCCTTGGGACAGTAGCTCAACTGCACTGTCCTGGGTCACCCCTCTGCTGGGGACAGACACCCCTCTGGGTGTCCTCGGGACAGTAGTTCCCTCCATACTCTCACCTCATGCTTGCCCTGGTGACAGCATGGGCACCCCTTTCCAGAGGCACCCCATCTAAGGAGACTAAGAATACCCCACAATCCTTGGTTCATCTTCTCTGACAGTAGCTTCTCAGTAAAGAAAGATTGAACATTTTTAAATATCTAAATAGAAGTTTTGAATTTGGCGTAAATGCACTTTCCCTGCATGTAGTCAGACTGCCAGCAGGAGTGAGTGACACTGAGCCGAGCTCCTCTGTCTGCACACGTGTGGATCAGAGTCTCTGTGTGGCTGCTTGGGAACACCTGCTCTCGCCTGGTGTGCACGCTGGGGCTGCAGCTGTTCTCCTGCACAGCCGCCTCCTGTCCCTGCACACTGGTGTGTGAAGGGCCTGTCAGCTGGAGAGAGGCTGTGTGGTAGGGGAGATGCAGACCACGGCTGCCTCGGGAGCTGTGCCCGTGCAGTCTTAGGATGTGCTCGAGGGTGTGCGTGTAATATTTACAGAAGGTACGATGAGCGTTGCGTACCTACCCTGTGTAAACTTCTCAGCCTCTGCCTCATAGGAAAATAGCAGTTCCCTTCTTACATTTCAAAATGGGGACTTGAACCCCTCTGGGGGCAAAGAGCACTGAGGAGTGTAGGGCTGTGTCCCCCACTGCTTGTCACTGACCACATGGGTTTCTGTCCTTGCTGAAGTTCATGCCAGTAAAGCAGGAACAACCAAATTAATTGATACATTTTAGACTCTGAATATCTCTAAAACTCCTTATGTTGCTTTGATTTATGTGTTAAGTCAGCTGTTAGCACAAGCTGCTGCACAGAGTGGGTAGACAGTGCCCAGTGTGCTGCCGAGCTCCAGGCTCTGGGCTAGGATAGCTGCGCAGAGTGGGTCAACAGTACCCAGTGTGCTGCACAGAGTGGGTCGACAGTGCCCAGTGTGCTGCACAGAGTGGGTAGACAGCGCCCAGTATGCTGCACAGAGTGGGTCGACAGTACCCGGTGTGCTGCACAGAGTGGGTAGACAGTGCCCAGTATGCTGCATTTGTAGGATTTTTATAATCAAATGAAGTCTGTGTATTCATCTCTGGGACACCAGAGCAAAACTAGTTAATGTGATCTTGCAGAAACACTAAAATGTGTCACTGTTCAGTCATCCCTGAGACTAACTGATGCAGTTCAGAGATGTCGCAGCTGCCCTGGTCATCAGCCTGGCCTGGAGCCCCAGCTATGAGCGAATGCCATTCACAGGGTAGGGAATGTTAGGAGGGAGATTTGGGGGTTCTTAAAACTGACATATTCCCATGTCCCATTTGAATTTATGTTTAAATTTTATTTTAATTTTTTTTTGAGACAGACTCACTCTGTTGCCCAGGCTAGAGTGCCATGGCATCATTATAGCTCATAGTAGCCTCAGACTCCTAGGTTTGAGCAGTCGTTCTGCCTAAACCTCCCAATTACCTGGGACTACAGGCACCTGGCTAATTTTTCTGTTTTTAGTAGAGAGGGGGTCTTACTTGTGCTCAGGCTGGTCTCAAACTCCTGAGCTCAAACAGTCCACCTACCTCAGCCTCCCAGAATACTGGGATTACAGGTGTGAGCCATTTCACCCAGCCTCCATTTGGATTTATTGATAGTATTATACAAACCAACTAAATCTATATGACAAAGAATATTTTCATTATAATTTACCTATCATAAGATATCCAGGTCACAGCAAACAGCTGGCTTATTTCATGTAGTTGCTACAGCAGACTAAAATTCTTTGAAATTTGTCTGCTATAAAAAATTTTTGTTGAGGCTCGGTGCCTGTGGCTCAAGCAGCTAAGGCGCCAGCCACATACACCTAAGGTGGCAGGTTCGCATCCCCAGCCCGGGCCCGCCAAACAACAGTGATGGCTGCAACCAAAAAATGGCCAGGCGTTGTGGCGGGCGCCTGTGGTCCCAGCTACTTGGGAGGCTGAGGCAGGAGTCTCGCTTGAGCCCAGGAGTTGGAGGTTGCTGTGAGCGTGATGCCATGGCACTCTACCCAGGGGGATAGCTTGAGGCTCCGTCTCAAAAAAAAAAAAAAAAAAAATTTTTTTTTGTTGAGTGGTTTAAGATACATTATTACTCTAAATTCTAGGCCCAGAAGGAAGCTAATGGTTGCTTTACCATAAAACTTGAATAATAGAGGTAATATTTAGAGGACTTATTCAGATAACTAAAAAGATGACTCAGGCCAGGCAGGGTCATATCTGTAATCTTAGCTCTTCAGGAGGCTAAGGCAGGAGAACTACTGAGGTCAGGTTTTAGATACCTGGGCACCAGAGTGAGACCCCCATCTCTAAAAAAAATAAATAAGAAAAATTTGCCAGGTGTGGTGGCAGGTACCTGTAGTTCCAGCTACGCTTGAGAGGCTGAGGCAAGAGGATCGCTTGAGCCCAGGAGCTCAAGGCTGCAGTGAGCTGTGATTGTGCCTCTGCACTCCATCCCAGGTGACAGAATGAGACTGTCCGTTAAAGAAGAAAAAAGATCATTTGTACTTCTGAGAAGACTTTTCTGATCTCCTCGGGGACTTGATGGTTGATGACACACAGATTAACAGTCCAGACCAAAGCTCAGTGGTAGCAGTTCTTCACCAATAGTGTTCATCAAAAGTACTGTGGTGGTGCTATAAAATGCAGGTGCTGGGACTCCACCTGGGCCCACCGAGGCACACTCTTGGACAGTGGGGCCTATTCATCTATTTGTTTTGTTGGTTTTCTTTTGAGAGACAGAGTCTCACTTTGTCACCCTCAGTAGACTGCTGTGACATCACAGCTCACTGCAACCTCCAGCTCTTGGGCTTAGGCGATTCTCTTCCCTCAGCCTCCCGAGTAGCTGGGACCACAGGCGCCCGCCACAACGCTCGACTATTTTGTTTTGTTCTTTTTCTTTCCCCCCATTCTACAATTGCTTCACATTCACTGTCACATGCCCAGTGCCTCCAAGCAACCTGGACCAGTGTCTGCGCTGGAATATCTGCTGAGTGGGTGAATGAGTGCACTCACCAAGGCTCAGGGGCCCTGAAGCTTGAGCCAGCAAGACGTGCTTGCACTTCAGAACTCCGTGACCCAAAGCTGGTCACTGACTTCTCTGAGCCCCCCTTTCTCATGCAAGAGATGTTCTGTGACTGGGGTGGGTGGGGGTCCTAACTCTGCATCTTCAGCACTGAGCTCCGGGAGCTCCTGCTGGACTGGAATGACCTCTGAGATACTCATTTCTTCCCTTTAGGAAATCTGACTATATCTCTCCACTAGACGACTTAGCTTTTGATATGTACCAAGACCCAGAAGTTGCACAAATTATACGCAAATTGGATGAAAGAAAACGTGAAGCTGTTCAAAAAGAACGCTATGATTATGCCAAGAAATTAAAACAAGCTATTGCTGATTTGCAAAAGGTACTGCTTCTGGAGAAAGCCGTTCCTTTTCTGTGCTTGTGGTAGGTTTGATATGTGATTATTATAACTATATGTCGAAACAAAGTAGGAAAGTCTATGTGAGTTTAGAAAGCTCAGCGGGGTGCAGTGCGGGGCGGGAGCCGTGCCCATAGATGCAGCTGAAAACAGAAGCGTTGGCTTCCCTCCTCAGACTCCCATTCAGGGTCATCGTCAGCCGCCTCGCTGCTGAGACCTGTAGTGCTGTGGGACATGGGGAACAAATGAGCTGCCCTGGAAGGGACTATGAACTCACGGCCTTGAATGCCAACACGGGGCAAGCGGCCAGACCTTTGCCGTGACCGCCGCCCAGTTCTCCCTTGCCCATGCCCTCTCCCTGTGGGACATTGGCACAGTCGTTGCCTCTGCTGTCCAAGCGATACTCTAAAATTGTCTTTGCCCTTGATGTGAGTTGATGCACACTTGAATCCAAATCCACCGTTCTGGGCTCCAGGTCGGTGAGCGCCTTGGGAGGTACGAGGTGGAGAAACGCTGTGCAGTGGAGAAGGAAGATTACGACCTGGCCAAGGAGAAGAAGCAGCAGATGGAGCAGTACCGTGCCCAGGTGTACGGGCAGCTGGAGCTGCACAGCCTCCTGGACGCCGCGCTGGTGGGTGCAGGGCCGTCCAGCAAGGGGGTGGGCAGGAGCCTAGGGGAGGAGAGACAGCTATGGTGCTCATACCATTGGATGTCTGTTTTGTAAATGAAACGCAAAAGATTTTATAATGCACAGGGGCTATTGTAATAGGTCAGCTCGGTCTTTGCCATGGTACCTTCTCTCAGGAGGATTCACAGTAGTGGCACGAAAATGAGTCAGGCTCAGGGAGACAGCGGCCCTGCGCTTCTGTCTGTAAGTCCTTTAGCTCTGTTCCCAGCCTCCTCTTTGTGAAATCAAATGGTAACCCTGCCCCACTCACCCCTCAGAGCACTGTAAGGCTAGAGGGAGGGAGTCATGCTGATGGCTTTGCATATGGAGAGGGCATTTCATGTAAGAAATCCTGCTGTGATTGTTGGAAGTCATGCAGGCAGATGGTATTCATCCCACATGACAGGTCGGGAGGCTGAGACCCTGAGACACGGGCGGTGGTTCAGAGCACACACTCTAGAGCTAGACTGCTTGGGTTCAAATCCAGGCTCCACCATTCTAGCTGTGTGATGGCTAATTCTTATGAGTTCTTTGCCTCAGTTTACATGAGGGTAAAAACAGTAAGAGTCAGCTCAGCGCCTGTGGCTCAATCGGCTAAGGCGCCAGCCACATACACCTAAGGTGGCGGGTTCGAATCCAGCCCGGACCCGCCAAACAGCAATGACGGCTGCAACCAAAAAATGGCCGGGCGTTGTGGCAGGCGCCTGTAGTCCCAGCTACTTGGGAGGCGGAGGCAGGAGACTCGCTTGAGCCCAGGAGTTGGAGGTTGCTGTGAGCTGTGAGGCCATGGCACTCTACCCAGGGAGACAGCTCAAGGCTCTGTCTCAAAAAAAAAAAGTAAGTGTCAGCCAGGTGTGGTGGCTCACGCCTATAATCCCAGCACTTGGGAGGCTGAGCCGGGTGTATTGCCTGAGCTCACAGGTTTGAGACCATCCTGATCCAGAGCGCAGACCTCGTCTCTGAAAATAGCCAGGTGTTGTGGCGGGCACCTGTAGTCCCAGCTACTTGGAAGGCTAAGGCAAGAGAATTGCTTAAGCCCAAGAGTTTGAGGTTGCTGTGAGCTATGATGCCATGGCACTCTACTGAGGGCAACATAGTGAGACTCTGTCTCAAAAACAAAGTAAAACCAGTAAGCATTAGTGTCTGCAGCACCTGGCGCCATGGCAGTGTAGACTGTACAGCCACAGCACCAGGATCCCACTTGCCTTTGCAGACAAGTGGACAGCAGCACCAGACTTTAATCACAAATCTACTCAGGTCCAGCCCAGGTGCCTCCTCCCCAGCACGCTGCTTCTCTGAGGGCGCGTGTGTGGACAAGCTGCACACACTGTCGTGAGCACGCACAAGTGTTCCTTCCTGTGCTGGTGTTTGGGGCGTGTTTGTCCCTTTCATAAGGGACCACGAGAGACAAGAGAGGCAAGTGCAGTGTGGCTGTGGGACTTTCACCCAGATTGTCACTCTCCATCAAAGTTTTCCTTTATTTTAAAACTTCTTGTTGTGCCAGAGGTCCTTTTCCAGCATACCGTTTCTTACTCATCTGGGAGAGTGAGGTCATGGGTGGCAGAGGCATTTGAACTTAACTGTCCCTTTTTTCCTCTAGATGCGAAGACCTCTCGATTTGCCCCCGCAGCCCCTTGTTCCTTCTGGCAGCCCTGGCCAGCGAAAGCTGATGCCTGTACTACCACAGCCGGAAGAAAGAAGAACAGAAAACCAGTTTGCAGAACCTTTCCTTCAGGAAAAGCCTTCATCGTATTCTCTAACTGTGTCTCCTCAGCACCCTGCAGTAGGCCAGTCACTGCCTGCCCCAGAGCCGCCTCCAAAGACCAATGTAAGAAGCTGGGGTTCAGAGCGGTATCCCCTCTGTTCCACAGACATTTACCCAGTGGGCGGGATACATGAGTACACCACACAGCCAAGCCGACTCTTGGCCTCCACTGTAGGAGAACCAAGCACAACATGAGCAATAGACCTGTCGGCCTCTCCTCGTGTAGGAGACCGTGTCCACAGTCAGGCACCCCAGGCCTCCCCCTCAGCCTGTGCCCTGCACGTCCTTTACCCTGAGGGACAACTGCAGTAGACAGCTGTCTGCCCAGAGCTTTCACAGGCGTGGCAGAGAAAGCTGGGCTAAAGAGTCTTTAACCGTGTCTTCCAGTTTTAAATGGTAAGGCCCCAGTAATGAACATGTTTATTCAAATCAGGCTTGATACTTATTTTTAAGCAGTAAACTAAGAAAATAACAGACATCTTATTAGAAAAGATAATAATCTTTATCTTATGTCAACTGAACTGAAATTGCTACTAGTAATAGCAGCAATAGTAAATAGTAATTGAAACAGAATCTACATTGCTTTTTTCATTATATCTATAATAAGTTTAGAAAGGAAAGGAAAGCCTCATCTAATTTTCTCGGTTACATTCTATTGTATAAATTATTCTAACCTGATGATACTGGTATTTAGCACAATGACAGCTTACAGACCCAGTCAGCAGGTGCAGTAGCCTGCTGGTGACCGTCACATTGGGGTGGGAGGGAAAGCACCTCAACCTGCACAGGGCTCTCCTTGTTCTCCATACACCAAAGGTGGAGTCTCTGCCCTATGACGAGCGGCCACTTCCAGCTATTCGCAAGCAGCAGGGGGACGCATTGGTGGAGCCAGAAGTAAGTGACACAGACGTCAGGGATGCACAGAAAGGGGCCGTTTCAGGGGAGCCGGAGCCCTTGACAGAGAAAGCTCTGAGAGAAGCCAGCTCCGCCATCGACGTGTTAGGAGAGACCTTGGTAAGAAAGGCAGGGGGCTGTGGGGGCTGTGCGCATACATATATATGAACGTACACACACACAAAGGGGAACAGCCAGGGCTTTGTGTTTGTAATATTATTGATTTCTCGTCATTCTTGATGAATTGGAAAGTCTTTGTAAATTATTAATAACATCAAACACCAAAAACATGAGCTAAAAATTGCAGATTTTATAAACAAGTATTCATTTAAGACTTGGTATTTCTGGTAATCGCAGGACTTATATAAAACATCAGCCCACTTTCTCGAATGCCCACTGATTCCAGTGAAAAACAATCGCAGAGCACAGATGGACTAATCTCCCTGGAGAAATGACCCCACAGGTTTACTCCCCTGGTGCTCAGGTGTGAAATGCTCCACTTGATGGAGCTTCTAATACTTCCATATTCCAGTGGAAAGTGTTGAGGATAAATATTCCTTATTTAATCATCTTAAATTTTCTTTGTCAGTAAAAACATTTCTCTAAATATAAATATTCTTTACAAGTTCTGTTTTTAGAAAAGATTCTTCTTAGTTTTAAGAAACAAAACAAAAGCCTTCAAATTATAAAGTGTTTGGAGGGTGGTTTGTGTGATGTTGTGAAAATGACAACCCTTGTATAAAGCCAGGTCCTGTTCCTGGCAGGTTGCCGGGGCGTATTCCAAGACGTGGTCATACCGAGAGGACGCGCTGCTTGCTTTGTATAAACAGCTGATGGAAATGCCCATTGGAACTCCAAAAGAAGATTTGAAAAACATACTGAGAGCGTCCATCTTCCTCATCCGAAGAGCCATAAAGGACATTGTGAGCCCAGTGAGTCCCTCCGCTGGCCCTGGCTGCAGCATCCGAGGATGAGGTCACACAGCTCGAGAGATGGCCAGCTGGTGACTTGTTGACACAGTGGCCAACTCTAGCTCAGTAGTATTACTAAGAATTAGTGTTCTCTAGCAAGAAATAGAGCATGTGAGCAATTATAAATGAAAGGTCTGTGGACTCCACCTCTGCCTGGGTCGTCCTCGGGGTCCCAGCAGGGTCAGCTTTTCCATGGTCTTCACAGCCAGGTGCTGGCAGAGGCCCGATTCACTGCTGCAGACCAGTGTTCAGTGCCTGTTTTTATATTTCACAAAACCTGCGGAGTTTGAGAGTTACTGTTAAGCCCTTAAGAATGAATATTCCACAGTTACACCATTGTATGCATCAGTATAGGAGTGTACCCGTTGAAGCAGGAGTCATAGATATTTAGTATCAAGGGACTGTGTTGAGTGCTTTATCACACAGTGAAGTAACAACTTGTATCCTCCATGTGCAGGGGGCGGCCTTTAGAAAGCAGTGTTCTGTTCATGGCTGGCTGGGCACAGTGGCTCACACCTGTAATCCCAGCACTCTGGGAGGCCAAGGCAGGTGGATTGCTTGAACTAGGGAATCCGAGACCAGCCTGAGCAAAACTAGCCAGGTGATGTGGTGGGCGCCTCCCCAGCTACTGGAGAAACTAAGGCAAGAGAAAGGTTGCTGTGAGCTATGATGCTATCGTACACCACTCTACAGGGTGTCTCAGCCCTTCAGACAGATGCAATTTTCTTTTTCTTTTTTTGAGACAGAGTCTTAAGCCTCCCAAGTAGCTGGGACTACAGGCACCTGCCACAATGCCCGGCTGTTTTTTGTTGTTGTTGCAATTGTCATTGTTTTAGCTGGCCCGGGCCAGGTTCGAACCCACCACTCTCAGTATGTGTGGCCAGCACCCTGCCCACTGAGCTATGGGTGCCACCCAAGATGCAGTTTTCAACATAATGTTCATATTTGTTACTAACAGTAAGTGTCATGTTTACTTTCTCAGAATTCCAGTATAGTAGCTCACCTGTTTTTATCACTTTTCTCTCAGGTCTTCCAGGCTTCTTTGAAGTTGTTGAAAATGATCATCACTCAATATATCCCTAAACACAGGCTGGGTAAACTTGAAGCAACTCACTGTGTGGAGAGGACCATTCCCATTCTGCTCACCAGGACGGGGGACTCTTCCGCCCGCCTCCGTGTCATGGCTGTAAATTTCATTCAGGTCTGAACCTCACTGTAGAGTTTGAAATATAGATAAAGAGCACCCTGCAGATTCCTGACTTTCTCAGTACCGTGCATGGCTCCCTCTCTCAGCAGTGTTATGAATTACCGTTGATGACGCACTTTCATACACTCCTTGTGTTTTCTTTTGTTCGTTTTTCTTTTTTTGAGATAAAGCCTCAAGCTGTCCCCCTGGGTAGAGTGCTGTGGCATCACAGCTCACAGCAACCCCCAACTCCTGGGCTCAAGCGAGTCTCCTGCCTCTGCCTCCCAAGTAGCTGGGACGACAGGCGCCTGCCACAACGCCCAGCTTTTTTTGTTTTTTGGTTGCAGCCATCGTTGTTTGGCGGGCCCAGGCTGCATTTGAACCCGCCAGCTCAGGTGTATGTGGCTGGCGCCTTAGCTGCTTGAGCCATAGGCTCCGAGCCTAGAGATCTTAGATGGTATTTTTTCTATATTGCAATTTAAATGCTGTAAATTTTATCATTGTTTCCTCTATATCTGTCTCGTTAAATGATGAATGTCTTAATGATAGACTTGTTTGAAACACAGTGTGCAATGACACTCACGCTTGTCCGTCTTAACCCCAGGAATCGTATTAACTATAGAACCTTAGCTGTGTCACTCCTGGTTGATATTTAATAAACACTAAAATAGAGGTGGTTCTAGCAGCAAAACTAATTTCTTTTAGAATTTTAGGAATTATAAAATATTTTTCTTAAGGTTGAGTAGTTCTGAGAGCAGAAACCACGTTTTAGTTTTGTTTTCTGTAAAACCTTCATTAATCTTCAGTGATCGTTTTATTTCTCATGCTTCAGTTCACTGTGCTGTAAATGGAAATATGAGCTTACGGACGGATGGTTTGCTGCTGTGTGAACTGTCCTGTTGCATTTCCCTATTTTCCCCTTCAGGGTTTAGTCTGAAGGTCTTGCTAAGTTGTACTAAATGCCTCCAGCATCTTCTAATGGGAATTAAATCATGTTCGCTTTTTATAGGAAATGGCCTTGTTTAAAGAAGTGAAGTCTTTCCAAATTATTCCATCTTACTTGGTGCAGCCACTAAAAGCAAACTCTTCAGCTCATCTGGCAATGAGTCAGATGGAGCTCCTGGCCCGGCTGCTGAAAGACCTGGGCACTGAGAGCTCCGGCTTCACTGTGGACAACGTGATGAAGGTGAGTGGGCCTCCCGGGACTCACCGCCACGGCCCCCCACTACAGCAGCGCCTGCAGCACAGCGTCTGCTCAGGGCCTGCTGAATGAATGAAGGAATGAAGGAATGAATGAGAGCTTTCAGAAAACAACACTGTCCTGGCTAACCAGTGAGGGCCCTGCGCTCGGCCTGCTGTCTGTAACTCCATCGTTTGGTGCTTAGTGTGTACAGATCTTTGTTGGGAGGTGAGGGCAGGGAACCAGTCATAAACCGTTGGTGCCAGTTGAATATTCTTTATCGGAAATGCTTGAAAACACAAGGGTTCCTGATTTCAGGTTTTGGAATGTTTGCATTAGACTTAGGGGCTGAGCATCCCAAAGCTGAAGTTTAAATGTGCAATGGGCACTTCCGTCGAGTGTCATGTCAGTACTCGAAACGTAAGGGCCTGCTGAGCTGCAGCACCAGGAGACATGGGCAGAAATGATTAAGGTCTTGTGTTTGGGCTCTAGCTGGCTGCCTTGACAAGCTCTATGAAAGAAACATGAGCTCAGGAGAGAAGCAGCAGTTTGCAAGTAGAAATGAAAAGACTCTGGGCCTGGCAAGGGGGCTCGTAATCCTATCATTTTGGGAGGTTGATGCAGAAGGATCTGCTGAAGCCAAGAATTTGAAACCAGTCTGGACAACATAGTGAGATCCCAATTCTACAAAAACTTACAAAAATTATCTGGGCAGAATGGCAGGCACCTGTAGTTCCAGCTACTCACAGGATAACTGAGCCCAGGAGTTGGAGGCTGCAGTGAGCTACAATGATGACACTGCACTCTGGCCCAAAAAGCAGAATAAGCCCTTACTCTACCACCTGAACTGTAGGTGGCAAGAGCTTCAGTGACTGCTCTGCCCCACAGAACAGGCGCCACTGTCTCTCCTGTCCCTGTCCAGCATAACAGGTGTCAGCATCTCTCCTGTCCCTGCCCAGCATAGCAGGTGTCAGCATCTCTCCTGCCTCTGCCTTGCAGAACAGGTACCATTGTCCCCCCTGCCCCGCATGTTTAATTCTCATGCCCGCCCCCCTGTCAGTGTGAGCATCAGTGCCAGGGAGCTGGGCTGCAGTGACAGACACTGAGCTGTCCGTGGCTACCACGTGTGTTTGCTGCTCTTTCATTGTGGTCTCATGCAGTTTGCAAGAGTAGAGGGTCCCCTGCTCCATGCTGTCATCCAGCAACCCGGTGTCCTTCAAGTGTGATGACACCAGCCTCCACATAAGACCTCCCTGGCTCCTCAGTAAAGAGAGTGACTGGAGGATTGTGCATAGGGGTGTTGTGGGTTAAGCCTCTTCCACACAAGTTCCCCTTGACCAAGATGGCCTGTCCTCACTGCCAGGGACTGAAAAGGATGGGACAGGAGCACCAAGGAGGAGAAGGAGACTGGTTTGTTGAGCACATGGTTGTGTTTTGGTCCATCTAAACCAGGGGTCCTCAAACTTTTTAAACAGGGGGCCAGTTCACTGTCCCCAGACTGTTGGAGGGCCAGACTATGGGCCCCAGGATGAGTCAGCTGCTAAGCAGGACAGGCAGCGGCGGCAAAAACACCTGGCGGGCCAGATAGATGTCCTAGGCGGGCCACATGTGGCCCGGGGGCCGTAGTTTGAGGACGCCTGAGGTAAACAGTGGTAGGAACAATTCCAACAGAAAAGAAGAAGAAAGAATTGACAAACATAGGTGCCGGGCCAGGGGTAGCAGTGGGAGCCAAGTCCTCGAATGGCCCAAGGCGTGGGCTCAGTGCACAGCTGAAGGGCTGCCACAGACAGGGCAGGGCGCGACTCGCTCATCACGGGAGGAGGCAGTTCTGCACAGCCTGGGTAACAGGCGAGAAGCGGGGCAGAGAGGCAGGCTGAAGGAAAAGCTGCACAGCGCAGGGCCCTGGGTGTGGCCAGAGGCTGAAGGGCAGCGGCCAGCTGCTTCTCAAGTCCACAGGCACGTCCACTTTCACCTGGCCATGCCCAGGGAGGAGAAATGGCCATGTGAATGCCACAAGGCACTGCTGAGATGGCCTGTATAGTCCCAGCCTGATGCTGAGGGCTTTGAAAACGTGTGGGCCATGAGGGATGGTGGCAGGTGGTGGGGATGGACTGAGGGTCATACAGGGTGGAAGCATTGTCAGGGAAGAAGCACAGAAAAAGAAACCTGGAGAGGCCGGGAGTGTGGTCGGAGTGTGGGGCCTTCAGGTGAAGTTTCTCAGAGGTGCCGTGGCTGCTGGAAATGACAAGGTCCAGATGAAGCCTGAGAGTGACTGGCTCAGTCTGAGCTGGCAGAAGCGAGGAAGCCCCAGATGCCCAAGGGCCGTCATGGAGATGTCAGTTTTCTAAGCACATCCACGTCAGCCTGTGAGTGGACAGATAACAGTGTGTTCCTATGACGGAAGGCCACAGGGCGGCTGAAGTGAAAGAAATCGGTTGGGATAACCCAGTGTGCACAGATCTCGAAACGGTGATGCTGAGTGGGAAAACAGGTTCAGAAGGGCACGCCCAGCACACTGTTAGTGACGTCACTAAATGAAGACAGGCTGGTGTGCATGTTGGCTGCAGGGGAGTGGTTGCCGCAGAGCACCAGGCGACAGTGTCCTGGGAGCCACACACAGGGAAGGACGCCACTGCTGCAGTGCCCAGTGTCCTAAAAACAAATGACCCCAAACAGAAACGGTGAAGTTGTGATACTGGTCAGATGGAAGTGACGGAGTCATGGGGTTTATTATATCTTTTCCTCTGTATGTTTGGACTGCTTTCTAATACTTTATATGTTAAGTAGAAAAAACAAAACAGAAATTGAACGTAACCATGAGTTGAACTGTGAATGTAAGGCCAGCTGAGGAGAATTCTCTGTATCTTGATATATGGGGTTGTGGGCCTATTGTTTTCTTTTTTTTTTCCTTTATTTTTCAAATTTTTATAATGTGCTTATCTTTCTTTTGTACTGGAAGAAATTGATTTTGTTATTTTAAGAATCAATAACAGAAACCCTCCCAAATTTATTTTTAGTTTTCAGTGAGTGCGCTGGAGCATAGAGTGTATGAGGTTCGAGAGACAGCGGTTAGAATAATTCTGGACATGTATAAACAGCACCAGGCTTTTGTTCTAGAGTACCTTCCTCCAGATGACAGCAACACACGCAAGAACGTTCTCTACAAGACCATCTTTGAGGGATTTGCTAAAATAGATGGCAGACCTACAGATGCTGAAATCAGGGTAAGTTAACTTCTTGAAGTTGTGAGCTGATGCTGTACTTGAAAAGTTCCTTGGTGCTGAAATAAAGAGCAAGGCCCCATAAGGAGCCGCTTACAGAGAAGTACAGGCCCCTGTACTGAGACCCCTGAGACCCCGGGCTGCACATGGTGACAGCCATCACCAAGAGGAAAGCTATTCAACTAATCTGAAGAATTCACCTTTAACCCTAATTGTGCTATTAATCTCAGAGAATATTATAAAAAATGTAATTTATAACTTGTCTGCTAATTTCTAAGATTATCCTAAAAAGCTATTCTAAAGAAAAAATAATTTTTTTACCAGGCACAGAAAAAAGCAGCTGTAGAAGAAGCAGAAAAACAAAAGAAAGAAGAAATTAAAGCCCTGCAGGGGCAGCTGGCCATGCTGAGGGAGGCAGAGGCTGACATCCAGGTCGGAGCCCCTGCCGCTCACCCACGGCTTCCGCTGACACCTGTCTTGTCATGTAGAGCAAACGTGCCTGATCTATTTTTCATGTGATTATGCAAACAGATAGCCTTATTCTTTATTATTTTTAAAAATTAATCTGGGGATAAATAAAAGAAGTCCTCCACGGGGAGCTGGAGCCAGTGTTAGTTCCTGGCTGTTCCCATGGGCTGGAGCAAGCTGGGGCTGCAGGGGTTCAGAGCAGCCCTTGGGCACAGAATCCCTCTCCTCCATAGCGCCCAGCCACCATCAGAGACAAGGGAGAGCTCTGGCTAGAGATGGGGTGTCAGTCTTGCTAAGGCTAATCAGGAACTTCTGAGCTCAAGTGATCCACCTGCCTCATCCTCCGAGAGTGCTGGGGTTACAGGTGAGAGCCACCCCGCCCAGCCTCAAATTTAATTTTCTATAAGTATGGCAGGTGGCATTCATTTTTGTAACACATCATTCACGTGCTAGATACAGGACAACCGACTTGTCCCTGGTCCCATTAAAACTAAAAGTCTGGGTCTTGGCACCCGTAGCACAGTGGTTATGGCACCAGCCACATACACCAAAGGTGGCAGGTTCAAACCCAGCCCAGGCCTGCTAAATAAGAATGACAACTACAACAAAAAATAGCCAGGCATTGTGGCAAGTGCCTGTCGTCCCAGCTACTTGGGAGGCTGAGGCAAGAGAATCGCTTAAGCCCGAGTTTGAGGTCACTGTGAGCTGTGACGCCAGAGCACTCTACCAAGGGTGACATAATGAGACTCTGCCCAAATAAAGAAATAAATAAAAGTCTGGGAGAGTCTCCTCACCCCCGTCAGACCTAGATGGCTGGTCCACCTGGCAGTTCTGTGTCAGTAGAGATCGTGTGGTTCTTAGAGACTGAGGGGCAGGAAGGAAACTAGAGAAAGTGTCTCAAGGCTGTGAGCACAACTGGGGAGCAGCCCAGGAGCTGCAGCGGGAGAGCCCAGCCCGGCAAACCAGAGCAGCACAGCCCTGCAGCCAGCAGGCAGCTCCGTAGCTAGGAGGAAACCCCTCCACTCAGACCTGTGAAGTAGAGCTATACCTACATCATGAGCACACCTGAGCAGGAGAGATGGGCGGAGACAGCCCAGAATCAGGTGCCTCCCTCTGCTCCCAGGAATCCACCTTGTTACAAAGAATTTCTAAGTCCTAAATCATTTATTTATTTAAAAAATGCTTGTAAGGGACTCACCATGTACAGGTACTGTTCTAGGTATAGGGATGCATCAGTGAACAGGCAGACCAAATCCTGCCCCCGGGACCTTCAGCTCCATAGTGGAGGTAGCAGTCCCAGTTAACTGGGATGAGAGTGTGTGCACAGCAGGCAGGACAGCAGTGCCTGCTGCAGAGGAGACCAGGGCGGAGATGGGAGTCGTAAAGGCAGAGGGAACAGTGGGGCTGGTGAACAGAGACGTGGAGGTACTGCAGGGACAGCCTCTGGCCATGAGGCAGAGCAGGGAGCTCCAGGCACAGGCCGAGCACATTCAGGGAAGCCACACAGCTGTGCACAAGGAGCAGCCTGGACGCCAGAGATGAGCAGCTCAGTGCTCCCGACAGAAGGCAGTTACCTTGGGGACGTTAAGGGCCCCTCTGGCCCCTGAATGAGGAGCAGCAGGGAGACACCTTACAGCGCATGCCCACAGTAGGCTGGCCGTGGGGACATGGAAGAGGTTGATCTGCATGGGTTCCAGAAGCAGAGCCTGCAGGACTTGTCAGGAAGAGGAGGCAGCCTTCATGGCCAGAAGGGCTGAAGACAAGACGTGGAGTCTGTGATGAGAAGACTGAGCAGCCATGGGCTTGAGGGGGAGAGCAGCGAGTTTACGTTAGGGGTGCTTGGGTGCTGGACGCAGGGCCATTAGCATGGGCACAGATAAAAAAGAGGAGAGAACGGAGCAGAGTCCACACGTGTCCGAGGAGAAGCCAGTGAAGGGGGAGGAAACCAGGTGTCCTGGGAGCCAGACTGAGAGGGGGGCACGTGAGAGGGTGGTGACAGGCGAGAGGGTGGTGACAGGCGACACCGTGAGGGGATGGGTGGTCTCTACTAGGGCTGCTTCCCTGGGTGGCTTGGCTGAGGCCCAGGGGAGGGGCTTGCAGCAAAGGCTGGGAGGGAGTGTCCAGATCTCTTTCCACAGTTGTGTTACTTGTCAGTAAAAATTCTAAATCAAAACCTAGGAATGTGCTTTCAGGATCAAAACATATCCTAGCTAGACTCCTGCCCACACTGCAGCCATTTGCCACTGACCTTTCTGTTTTTGTGTCTTAGGAAAAAGAAAGTGATGCTATGAAGCCAAAGATTCAGGGTAAGTAAATGCCCCTGGAACGCCCCTTTCCCGTGCTGGGCAAAGGTCTGTCCATAGCGCCTGCTCTCTGCCAGTTTAGAGCTGAATTAAACTGGTGCTACCTCTTTAATTTGTAAAAGAATACTTTAGGGGCGGCACCTGTGGCTCAAGGAGTAGCGTGCTGGCCCTGTTTGCCAGAGGTAGGGAGTTCAAACCCAGCCCTGGCCAAAACACTGCAAAAAAAAAAAAAAAGAATCCATCAGACTGATTACTAAAACTTAGAAAGTAATTTCCACAAAAAGTTGTGAGAACTGTTTCTTTTTAATCTCTTCAGATTCTCAAGGAAGGAAAGCAGCCCTGCCTGAAGCTCAAGCTGTGGGAATTCCAGACAGCCACTACTTAGACAAGTGAGTCCGCGGGCCAGAGGGGCCGACTGCGTGAGACACCAGAAATGCAGACGTTCTCTCGGGTCGTTGTGATTATGTGAATTAATTGGCTCTTTTCAGCAGTTTTAAAGGCTAGGAAAATTTCTTTCTAAAGTAATCAGCATGCACTCTGAGTAAGTCGAGGTAACTTTCCTTGTCGTTACCCCAACAGAAGCTACGGCCTACTTGTCAATATTGCTGTACAGGCACACAATGTCATAGCGACAAAATACCAAGACTTCAGTGCTGAAGTGTTGAACAGTGGCAAAACGGGCCTACAAGAAATTTAAGGGCAATGTCTTTTTTTTTTTCTTTTTTTAGAGACAGAGTCTCACTTTGTCTCCCTTGGTCGAGTGCTGTGACATCACAGCTCACAGCAACCTTCACCTCTTGGGCTTAGGTGATTCTCTTACCTCAGCCTCCTGAGTAGCTGGGACTACACGTCCCCGCCACACCACCCAGCTATTTTTTTGTTGCAGTTTGGCCGGGCTGGGTTCGAACCTGCCACCCTTGGTATATGGGGCCAGCGCCCTACTCACTGAGCCACAGGTGCCACCCATCTTTGTCTTTTTTGTGTGGCTTAAAACATCCCTTCTTACTTACAAGTGCTCAGTTAGAATTTGAAGGGATCTTAAGCTAATTTATTTCAAACACCTACTTGGCAAAAACTCTTCTGGGACACTTTGACAGGCAGCCCCTCCAGCTGCTGCCACCAGAGCAGCCTGGGCAGTGCATGTGGCAGGCAGGAAGCATCTGCCGGTGGGGTAGGAGCAGGGTGACCGTCACTGAACTACAGAGTTTTGCCTTCACCTGCTACTTTTCTGTTTTCTTTCAGTTTGTGTATTTTTTGTGGGGAGAGGAGTGAGTCCTTCACAGAGGAAGGCCTGGATCTCCACTACTGGAAGCACTGCCTCATGCTGGCCAGATGTGAGCACTGCAAACAGGTCAGCCTGGGCACAGTTGGTTGAACCACTCACCAGTGGCTTGCGCACCCAGCTTCTGAAAGGGCGAACCACAGAGATATCACACGTCATTGTATTTTCAGAGGAAAGGCTATGAGAAGAGTCCCTGACTCATAGCACGCACCTATAGACATGCACAGACCCTGAGCCCTGCGTGCCAGCTCAGGGCTCCCCCAGGAACAACCATCGCCACTGCCCCCGCCCCTCACGGCCAGTGGTGTCATCTGAGCTCTGACTCCACAGAGTAGAGCTGCTTGCTCCCTGAGCCTCCCATAAACAGGGTCACAAGAGGCGTGACCACTGGGTGTTGTGTCTTCTCCCTTCCTGGACAGTGTGCGCTGTCGGGAGGCCACAGCTTAGTCACCCACTCACCGTTTCTGAGACCCCGGGTATCTGGTTGGGACCATTAGGAATGATGTGCTGGGCAGACTGGTGGTGCGAGTACTGAGGCGCCCTGGACTATTCCCCGTGTGCTTGTGTGGGGCCTGCTGCTTGCTGTGCTCAGCTACAGAGCTGATGCCATGCAAGGCTCCTGCTCAGCCAGCAGCAGCCAGGAGCACTGCCCGTGCCCGCAGCACCACTGCGGCCGTGCTCCTGCCACTTGGCGGGCTTTCCACTTGTGCTTCCATCTGTCTGTGGACCCCTGGCTGCCCTCCTCCGCCTCCTGCCCCCTCCCCATCTGAGGGGTGGACCCTCTTTGCTGTGGCTTGGTAATCGCCCCTGCACGTCTGGTCAAGAGCCCTTGTCTGGTGTGTGTTGTGACCGTCCTCTCCTTTCCTCATCTTGTATTCTCCTTGTCTTAATGTGTCTTTTGATGAATAGCGTTTTTCATTTTAGTGTTGTCCAGCCTCCCAGTCTATTTGGGGATTCATGCTTTTTGTGTCCTGTGTAAGAAATCTCTCCCTACCCTAAATTCCTAATCTCTTCTCTGATACACTATCCCTCCTTCAGTCCGTTGTGTCTTGGTCAAAGGGAAAGCCTGAAGCTTCCAGGCTTATCTTTGGAAGTTTACCTTCTAGTTCGCAAGGAAGACTCTGAGCCCTGCCCTCTGAGCAGTGACTCCAGCAGCAGCAGTTAGGGCCGGCCCAGTGTGGGCGTGGCATCTCCATGGTGCGTGGAGTCCTGTGGGGTTAGAGGCTCTTCCTTCCCCTCTGTGTTCATTCTTAGCAACAGAGAGGATCAAGGGTTCGAGCCCAGAGCCACACATGTCTCACTGAGCACACTGCCCCCCGCCAAGCATCACACTCAAGTCCACCCCTCAGAGCTGCCTTTAGGTGATGTTAAGGTGACAGGAAAGGAAGGACATGGGTTCTTTGGGGAAGCGTAGATGACTCCAGACGCTCTGCACAAGCGCAGAGATAAAGGGCTGTGACTTGTCCACACATGCAGGCGACACAGAGAGTCTGAGCAGCGTGCTGTGTTCTGTGTCTCACAACCAGGTGGTGGAGATTTCCAGCCTGACGGAGCACCTGCTGACAGAATGTGACAAAAAGGATAGGTTTGGGAAGTGCTACCGTTGCAGCGAGGCTGTTTTAAAGGAAGAGCTGCCCAGACACATAAAAGCCAAGGACTGTAACCGTGAGTGCTGCGTCTAGGCCCTGGCCTCTGGTCACCCGTGTCCTCCCAGCGAGCACAGCTGCCATGGGGCATTGACAAGGGCTGGGGGAAATGACAGAGCATCTGACGGGCGGGCAGGTGACGCATCCTGTGTTTCTCCTTGTCCAAGTTTCATAAGAGTGACAAAATCCTTTTGAAATCATTTCAGCTGCCAAACCAGAGAAGCTGGCAAACCGCTGTCCTCTGTGCCATGAGAATTTCACCCCCGGGGAAGAGGTGAGTGCCTGGCTTGGGAAAGGGAGCTGCTGCTGCTGCTGGTGGCGATGTGGTTGATGCTGGGTCACAGCCAAAGCCAGCCAATCACCCACTCAGGGTGCAGTGTCCACGTGCCTTCCTTGTGTGACATTTGTGAACAGTTCATTAAGGAGTCTCAGCTTGTTGGCGTAGCAGCATGCAGGGGTTTGATTTTGTTCTGCTCTTTGCTTTCATAGATGTAGAGGCCCGTGGGCATCTTGGCCAGATCCTGGCCAGTTTGGTTTGACAGTTGTACTCTCTGTCCAAGGCCTCCTCCCTGTCCAACGTAAGCTGTGCATATGACCAGCAGGCTCTTCTGTGCCCACCCTATCCTTTCCACAACTTCTGCTCCTCTGGCACTAGAGGTGTCAAGGATGGATGGGGGACCCAAGGCCCCATATCTGTCACGGTAGCTCTGCGCCCTCTATCTGACATGACAGGGTGGCCATAAGCCTGTGTATCTGTCACTGTGGCTCTGCACCCTCTATGTGACATGACAGGCTGGCCATGACCTCTTGTTGCCAGGCAGTGGGTGCTGAGCCCCAGGGGGTCGGCTCAGGGCACAGTTTTGGAGCCAATGTCTGGCTACGGTACTTCACCTCACCCTTTGTAGCTTCTGCCACCTGGGGGCCACCTGCTGTGTCCTGCTGCCAGGCTCTCCTTGCCCTGCTCTCTGAGACAGGGAGCCACCCAGATGGCCCAAAGCAGCAGTCTTCTGCAGCTTTCCCCTGACTGTAGAAAACTCACGTAGTAAACAGAGGGAAGAACTGCTGGCCCAGCCACTCTCAGCCCTGTGTCTCTGCTCAAGCATCCAGTTCCCTCCCTTACCAGAAAACCAGCTATGGCTGGGTGCACTGGCTCATGCCTGTAATCCTAGCACTCTGGGAGGCCGAGGTGGATAGATCACCAGGAATTTGAGACTAGATTGAGCACAGGCAAGACCCCATCCCTACTAAAAATAGAAAAACTAGCTGGGTGTTGTAGGCACCTATACTCTCAGCTACTCCAAAGGCTGAGGCAGGAGGATGGCTCAAGCCCAGAAGTTTGAGGTGGCTGTGAGCTATGACATCATGGCACTCTACTCTGGGTAACAGAGTAAGACTCTGCCTCAAAAAAAAAAAAAAAAAGAAAGAAAACTTGAGATGCATCAGGAAGTACACAGGAGAGTCCCAGGGACCCTGGAGCAACTGCTGGCCTGGCCACCATGTCCCTCCTGTCCTGCTGAGACAGACCCAGGCAGCTGCTTTGTCTGGGGGCTCCTGTGTGGAGCTTTCACATGAGGCCTTCCTTCACAGTCCCAGCAGCACCGTCTCAGCCCGCCAGGCTTTGTGCCCTGTCGGTTGTCTCACAGCATCAGAGGCACGTTTGCCAGGACCCACAGAAGGCCCTGCTCTGCGGTCCGCTGGTGTCTTTCAGACAGGCTCCTTCCCCTGTGCGGCGTCCTTGCTGTTTATCTGATGACCTGTCTTTGTGCTCGTACCTGGTGGGAAGGGGCAGCACCTGGTGGGAAGGTGCAGCGTGCTGCTCTGCCCCCTGGTCACTGTACAGTGGAGGTGGGGCCTGTGGCCTCGCAGGTGCCCGGTTTGACTCTTTCCTGTTGGTGTGGCTCCGTCCCTCAGGAGGCAGGTGACTGCTGGTGCTCAGGCCTCCTCATGCCGTCGTCCCCCCCACCCCACCCCCGTTCACCTGCTTCGTTCTTCATTTCTGTAGCAGAAGCCCCTCTGCTCCGCACTCTCCCGGGGCTCGGCTGTAGTGGAAAGGGAGGAACACGGTTTCATCCTTTTCTGTTGTTTACCAGTTAGGTCGCTAGTGTCATCCAGGCGCAGCTGATTTGCTTTTGTTTTGGATTTAAACTGTGGGGCGTGTGCAGTCACCACAGTTACTGTCCTTAGTGGCATGTGAATTGCACCAACTCTGGCTGGTGACAGCTCGTCAGCTGGGCCCCCAAGGCTTCTGGTATGAACCAGTTCACCGCAGCTTCCTTCAGTCTGAGACGCTTTCCTGCCCCAGCCTGGAATCAGCCTGGTTCCCCGTAGCAGGAAATGATGTTTCAGGACAGCACCAGGGACCCATGTACTGGGTGGACAGAGCCAGAAGCAGCTCTATGCTTGTGAGTGACATCATTTACCCACCCATCCCTCCTCCACCTGCACCTCCTTTCTTACACCCCTAGAGACCTGGTTCTGCAGCTGGGGCAGCCGGGAGCAGCAGCACCCACCACAGCAGGCAGGCAGGCGGCTGTGAGGAGTGAGATTTGTCCCACTTGTTGTCCTGAGCACACATCCCGCCAGTGACATGGAGCCCAGTGGCTTTGCCTTGAAGTCACTAGGAAGAGTCCCGGTTAGTTACGCCACAACTGTAAACACAGGCTTGTTTAATTTTATGTTGAATTGTTAAAAATTAATTTCTACTACACATATAAGATACACGTCTCCACATCTATAATCAAGCTGCTGTCCTGCCCTACCTACCTCTCCAGACTCCCCCCCAGAGATGCATATTTTTACGGCATATTGTTCTGGTTATTTTTTTTTACAAACATAAGCAGCTCTTACCTGCACAGACACTGCCTCCCTCTGTTTATCTTTAGGGGTTAGGACGGGCAGGTAAATGGTGTCACTCCTGTCTTCGTTCTGTTACCTGTGCTGATACTTGCGTGTGGCCCCACGTCCTCTCCTGGGGACTGTCTGTTGTTCTCCTACTAGGAGTGTTACTGAAGTAGCTGGGGCCTCCGTCCTCCTGGCTCGTCCCTGGCATCCGATTTGAACTGCTGCCCTATCTCTCGTCCTTTCTCAGTTATCCACGCTGAGCGACCACAGCCACATACACAGATGACAGCGTTGCTGTGCTCAGCACTACTGAACCACACTCTGAAAAGTAACATTTTATAATAAAACATCATCAAAGGACACATAGCTTGCAGGAAAGGCAGTATTGGGAGTGAAATCTTGTTGCCCCTTATCCTACCAAGCAAAGGGAAGGAAGCGTCCCCACAGGCTGAGAACAGAGCGCTGTCCTGACCTGAGGGACGTTGAGAGCAGAG